GGCCTTAAGTTCACAAATAAAGTACAAGTTTGCAAGGTTATAAGTTGCACTTAGCCCTTTTTTGAGGAAAATAGTTCATATTTTATCCACCAAATAAGTTTATCAAGTTTTAGTCTGCTTTAAGGATGTACAAGGTGTTTATCTAGGACATTAAAAAACTACAAATCTGTTTATTTTACAGCTACAAAAAAGCCTAAATCTAATTGAATCGAGTAAAGTACAATTGAACTTTGTCAAGACTCAAATTTAGGAGAAATTATTATATACGAAGCACGCACGCAGCACTACATGCGGACTCCAGCAATATGCCGCCATGTGTGCTATATCGGGCCGATCTCCCAACGAAATTTTTGAAGTGGAACCGCGGAGATTATTGAGAGGATAATTGGGGGTTATTGAGGTATTATTGGAACATTAGTTCTAATAATGCCGCAATAACCTCTCAATAACCTCCGTTGTTACACTCCCAATAACCTCCACGGTTACACTCCGCAATAACCTCATAATAACATCCCAATAACCCCCAAATAATCTCCGCCCCTGCATAACCCTCGCAATAACTTCATAACAACACCTCAATGACCCCTCAATAATCTCCGCGGTTTCACTTCAATAACCTCTCAATAACCTCCACGTGGCAGCATATTACTGGAAGTCCGCACGCAGAGATACGTAAGTCCTCCGTAAGGAATAATTTCTCCGGGATTATGCAATGAAAAAATCCAGGTTCCTGGACTGTCATCCCCATGATCTGTTAATATAAATAATAATTACACGGTACCATCTACCGTGACATAGGCCAATAAGATTAACTATGGCTAAGATTATAGCAATAATACTTGCTGGTTCAGTTTGTTTTCTGAGATAGCAACAATGACCAAAGACATCTCAGAAATATGCTAGTTAGAAGGCTTGGACATGATCTAAATTCAGGCTTGATCACGAAAAGAAATTTTAGTACTTGGACTAAAAACTGATTGACATGCATAATTCGAGCTCATCTTCAGAACTTATATCAATATAGTAATCCTCAAATGACAATAATCAATCAATTGTTGCGAGGGAGCCTAGCCTAAATGCAATTTAGTCTTTTATTATTATTATTATTATTATTGGATATAAATACACTTGTTATGTCTAGGGTTTATGCATGAGATTGAGTTGTGAGTCTTAGGTCAAGGGTTTGGGAGAGATTTCATACCTCTCGAAGTGTAGGTATTCGGGAGAGATCGCCTACCTCTCAAATTGCAAATGCTTATCTTTTGTATTTGTGTGAGTTGTTTGGATTATTGAAGAAAATATTGGTGCTTGCCCTAATTTCTGTAAAAATCCGAGTTAATTTCGACATCGGAACGTAACAACTTGGTATCAGAGCCACAATTTTGGGAGAACAACTTTTCGTGACCTTCGATCAATTATCGAATTCGCTGCCCGGAGAAGATTTCAGCATACTGAACCAGAGCTGCATCGAAGACTGCATCGCAGACGGGGGCAAAGAATACGTCGCGAGTTCGGTTCTTGGTAAGCCGCGACCTCAATCTGTTACGCGAAGACGCCACACGACAGATGCAGAGCCAGCTTTCTACTCTAGCTGTCCCACAGTAGGGCCGTGATTTCGCAAGGAAGGCAGCGACGAGATCGCATCGCAGATGGGTGAGGATTTCACTGGATTCCCTGCTCCTGCCACTGAAGCACAGCCTATTCTGCAGCTGAAGCACAGCGTGGATCTCCTGCTTCTTCTGTCGTTTTACAAAGTATCCTTCTATCGCATTCCTTCTGCCGCTGGTCTGCTGGAAGGATTATGCAGGAAGGATTCCTTGCCGCATTCCTTGCAGCGTGGTTCCTGCAGGAAGGGGTCCTTTCCGTTTTTTTTTCCAAAAATTTTTCTTGTTGTTATCCTTTCCGCCTGATATTTCCTACAAGAAGGTGTACAGTACCACGAAAGCATGAGTAAAGTTTGAGAGATGCTAAAGAGGTCATTGAGGTGCAATCCAAGAACCCACCGGCAGTTCAATTTACAAACAACAAACAAAGGTTGAGTGGAGAATCCGTGGCAAGACCGAAAGGAAAAGTGATTGAATGTGAGGAACGTGAAGAAAACATCCACCATCACGAACCTCCTCTCACGGCTCCGGTCTGAGGTGGATTAAAGATTTCTGATGGAGATGGTTGAGTTGAAACATGGAGATTATGCCAGAGGTTTGAAGAAGCACGAATAAGACGGGAAAGAAGCAAGGAGGGAATATGGCTACGGTCCAAGGTAAGAGTTGTTCTCTCGATACATGGAGCAAAAAACGGAGGAAAAGGAAGTTGGGGTGGAGAAGTCAGAGTCAGGAAGTTGAAGATGTCGATCTTCGAGGGCAAAGACACACATGGGTGGTGGGTGTACCAGGCGGAGTGATACTTTGCGGTGAATAGGTTAGATGGGGAGGCGAAACTCATGGTGGCTAGACTGTGTTTGGAAAAGAAAGCTTCTGCCTAGTTTCAGTGGAGGGAGGCTAGAGACCTGATTTGTTCGTGAGATGAATTTAAGGATTGTTTGTTGGAACGTTTTCGAGTCATTTGGGAAGGAGACGTACACGAACAATTCTATGTCTTGACTCAAGAGGGGAAGGTCATGAAATACAGAGAGAGATTAGAGCTATTCAAGGTACGACCCTAGGAGATTTGTGAAATAAGACTGGAGGGGAATTTCATGAAAGGCTTAAAGCCTGACATACGGGCAGCACTCTAACAACTAAAAGATCGTGGGGATTGAGGGATTTGATAGAGCCAACCCAGATGGTGGAAGATAAGAACCAGATGAACAAAGCCACAGGTTCAATACAGATGGGCCATCGTAAGAAACGAATGCAACCATGCCAATGCCAAAAATTCAAACAGTAGAAGTTTAGAGGGAGGCTGCACGGGACATGAAAAATGGACCACGACCATTAGAAACACTAAAGCGCCTTACAGAGACAGATCCAGGAGAAGCGAGTCAACTGGTTATGTTAGATGTGATGAGAAATTTATTCCAGGACACTGTTGCAAGAATCGAAGATTGCAAGTTCTCATAGTGCAGCACGAGGAATCGGAGAATGAAAAAATAGAGACAGCGTTGAGGGAGGAGAAATACTCTCATTTTTTCTCACCTTAAGGACAAGGTGTTTTTTTAGAGGGAGAGTATTGTTACGAGAGCGCCTAGCCTAAGGGCAATTTAGTCTTTATAATTATTATTGTTGGGTATAAATACATTTGTTATGTCTAGGGTTAGGTTTATGCATGAGATTGAATTGTGAGTCCCAGGTCTAGCGTTTCGGAGAGATTTCCTGCTTCTTGAATTATAGGATTTGGTAGAGATTGCCTACCTCTCAAATTGTAGGCACTCAGCTTTTGTATTTGTGTGAGTTGTTGGATTATTGAAGAAAATATTCGTGTTTTCCTAATTTCTGTAAAAATCCGAATTGATTTCGACGTCAGGTCGTAACATCAACACAAAGATTTAGAAAATTTGACGCATGCTTTTGAACTAGTGGAGTTTCAAAGATAGTCATTATAACCATGTGAATTGTGGATGGATAAATGGATGAGACAATTGCATATATAATCATAGGATCTATAAAGAAGACGATGAATAATGGGTTGATAAGAAAAATCATTTGTAATTGATGAAGATGACTGTTTGGGGTTTCACTGAAGTTCGGATTGGAGATGGGAAAGGTGTACAGTTTCTTAGACAATAAATGGGGAAGGGGTGTTAGGTATGTTAGGTTTAAGTAGATTTGAGAGAAAATATGGATAAGTTTGTTAGGGTTACATATGGACGAAACCACTTAGGCAGGGGAATATGGGTCAGTGGTGGGAGATAGGATACATTAGGGGCCTTGGATGTAGACTTCAAGATGCAAGGTTCTCGTACCACTTTAATGGCATGTACTTGATCAATATCTAGGCTACTTGTGTATTCTCCATATTTGAATTGATTTAACTCTGAGCTTCACCATGATTCAATCCATTGATGAGAGGATTAGAGGGAGTAAAGAGAATAATATAATGAGAGAAAATTGAGATAATATAAAAGAGAGTTTGATTATTTCATCATGGATAAAAATGGGACAATTAAAAAGAAAGATTTGAGAAGAAAAAAAAATAGGGCCTTCAAACTTAACTAGAATCATTTCCCTATCAACAAATTGGATTACAAGGAATAATTATTTTAAAACTATAAAAAGAAAAAAGAAAATATATTACCCAAGGAAAGAAAAACTACTAATAAATCTCCTACGTGACTAAGAATGAAAGCGAATTAAATTAAGGGATTATTTGTGCTGTCTTTTTTATAGCTTTGCTTTCTAGAAATTTGACATTGCTCTATTCGGCTATAGCTATTTGGTGGCTTTCAGAAATTTGTATGGTAAGAGGTATTTTTACAACCAAATCTACAATAAGAAAAAGTCTATCTCCAACAATATAATAAAATATAAATATTTATATTACCACAACAAAATTTAAGAAAAATTTTCCTCACTACAGATTTCCAACAATTTTTACAAAGAACTACAGGAACCACAAACAAATGGCTAGAACATTATCTAGCATTAAAGTAGCAACAGCACAATAAAAATGCACCTGATCATCATTAATCTGCATGTGTTCAAAGACTGCTCGAGCCAAGTATTCATCTTCTTCTTCAATCAACTCCAACTCTGCATAGAATCAGGTATGTCAATGTCTTAAAATGGTAAAATCGGCAATTCAGGTGTTTTCTTCATTGTGATGTGAGGTGAAAGCCTCGTTGCGGATCAAGGCATGAGTCTCAAAACAAAAAAATAAAAACTCATAAAATTAAACATAATTCATAAATATAACATTTAACAGATAACAAATCTTGATCATTAAACTTAGAATTTAAATATGCCAATGGACTTCAAAACTCCACTTAAAAAGACATGCATATAGTATTCCCAAATCCCAAATATAAAGCAAGTGTAGCAATGTTTCGAGTGCTCTTGATGTAATTAGCCCTTAAAATTTTACATGCATGCCACTCAATTCTTTTGTATTCTCATCCCTAACACCTGAACTTGTATAAATATTAGGAAAAACTGAAAAAGTAAAGTATTTATGCGATTACCACTTGACGACGCTCGACAAACGAAGTAGGAAGCCTCAACACTAGAAAATAGAACTAGAGACGCTCGTCAACGCTTGAAGCAGGGACAACGCTTGAAGCAGGGACAGCGCTTGAAGTGGGGTCGACACTTGATTGCAAAAGCTACACTCAAGATGAAACTCAAAATCAAAATAAAAAATGCCTGTCGACACTCAAAGCGAGGAAGTCATCTACGGTTGAAGCAGAAATGCTCATCTAGGGCTCTGGTGGACTCTTGAAGCTGATGCTTCCCTCGATACTATGAAACCCAAACAGTAGCTGTTGATTGCAGGTAATTTAAGTTAACAAATGCCTTGAGGCGAAACACCTCCAAGCGTACAACTCGAATAAACAAGGCATAAGCCTCACCCGAATGATCAAAGTTTAAGCTCGAAATGTATTGTTTATCGCCTCGAATCGAGCAGCACCTCGAGGCAGACGTCTTGAGTGCTTTTTTGAACGTTGATATAGGTGTACATAATAAAGACTATATCACCATTAAATAGGTACACTCGCAGTTTGAATAAATTGTTCAAAGAGTATTCTGTCAATTATAGTTCATTTCCTAGCATCCAACACAAAGTCCAGGTACTATGCAGTTATATAATGATCGAAATCACAGGCATCTCTCCACATACTTGCATTTGTGTACCATATTTTAACTCATGTTTTCATCACTCAATCTATAAAATACAATAAATAAGCAGCTCTGCTTCTGTGTTGGAAAAGAGCACAATAGACTAATGTGAAACTTGCAAGGCCCAATCTAGTTATGAACCTACGAAACTAACTGCAAAAAATAGCTTAAAAAAAATTTCCATGCTTATTATGGTATAAGTAAAGATCATACCATATTCTCTGCAATATATAAATTTCATCATAAGATAATGCCCTTTCATGTATGCATGAAGAACATAACACAGGATTAAAGTTACAGGATTTATTGCATCACATACTAATCATTATTGCTCGAGTAGTTGTGGATAAGGCAGTTGATGATGATGATGACGACGAAGTCGTCGCCGCCGCCGCCGCCACACTACTTACTATTGTTATAGTGTGAATAATCGCATCACATACTAATCATTATTGCTCAAGTAGTTGTGGATAAGGCAGTCAATGATGATGATGATGATGATGACGACGACGACGAAGTCGTCGCCGCCGCCGCCACACTACTTACTATTGTTATAGTGTGAATAATCCTAACTGCATCCTATTTATAACAGTTATATTAAGCCTACGCATGGTAGAGAATTGGTACAATTTAGCAATGAAACAAAATGCACCAAACTCTAATTTACAGAAAATTAAATTTTTTCCATGTTTGCACCCCAACACATAAGTTGCAGGATTTCATAACTCTATAATCTTGTTAAATGGAATTAAGCTCCGGAAAAAATAAAATTAGCTGTCAATGATCAACTTTTATTCAGATTTTGACATAGCTCAGGGCATTTTCCTAAAAATACATACATACATATATACATATACATACATACATACATATATACATATACATATATATATATATAGGCATTTTCGGGTGCAACCTTGATGCAATCATTAAAATCATATTCTACTCAGAGAAATTCTGCTAAATACAAAAACATATTTTCATCTAAATCGGTGATGCTTGGTTACTCCTAAGAAAAGAGGCTATAAGTCAGGTTTCTAACAAAGGATAATTAGCATCTTCTTCAAAGCAAACCTATGTCAGAATAAATAAATATAATCAAAGAAGGATGAGAACAAGCAAAAGACATCTTCAATGTATTGTTTACAAGGAAAAACCTAGAGAATAATTTTATGTCTATGAAATAAATGGGTCTACTTCTCATGATCCACGTCAATGGAGGCAACACAAACGAATAAGGAATCGTTCTTTGCCGCTGTAGCGTCTCTCTTTGCCAAGCACGAGCGACTCTTCCTCCCGAGCACGGGATTCCAGTAGCGACTCCCGCTTCGTCCGAGAGGAGCAGCACGTTGTCACGAGGAAGATCGTCCTTTGCCGCTGCAATCCTGTGCTGGAGATCTCGCGATCTTTGCCGCTCTTTGGATTTTTTTTATTAGTTGTCTTAATTGCAGCGATTCTTTTACCACTGCAGGTTGATTTCTAGCTTTAATTGCTGCAACATTTTCTTCTCCACAATGTCAATGTCCGAAACCACTATCTCCAAATACTCCAACAATTCTGAAGAATACAATGTTGTTCAGAAAATTGGAGAGTTGCAGAATATTCGGGCATCCAATAGGTTCAATGGGAAGAACTATCTCAAATGGTCCCAAATTGTCCGCACATACCTAAAAGGCAAAGGGAGGATTAATCACCTACTTGGAACCAGACCAAAAAAGAATGATCCAGTCTCTACAGCATGGGAAGAGGAGGATTTCATGATTATGTCCTGGCTATGGGATTCTATGGACCCAACGATCAGTGACACTTGCATGTTCTTGAA